AGGGAGTGACAGCTTGGGACTGGGCGCGCTGTTATTTCAGCGGTTCCCTGGGGAGCCAGCTTTGAGAAATCCAAGGTCATCCTGGGAAGTTAGGGTTGAACACACTAGAGATCTGAACGCAGAAGTTTCATACTGACGAACGTTTGCATGGGATACTCTACCCGTGAACATCAACCTAGAGGAAGCGGGCAGGACTTGAGGGCAGACAATGGTTCTCTTTCCCCCGGTCAGTCACTTATGGCATCTGAGCCTTGGTCAACCTGTGTGTAAAAGCAAAATATAATAATACGGCTATACGTGGTATATGACTATTATGATGCTGAAGATGAAAAGAAAAATTTGTAAAAGTGGTTTGTAACCGAGAAATGAAGACACAGAAAGAACTGTCAGCTACTTGTTGCAGTCAAGCTAGCCTAAATTAAACTGGCCACAGTGGTACATTCCTATAATACCAGCACTGGAGGGCCTCAGGCAGGAGCATCGCAAGTTTGAGACCAGTCTGGGTCAGTGAAACCCCGTCTCTCTCTCTCTCTCAGACACACGCACACTCACACGCACACTCACACACACAAAGCCACACTGTGCTGTGGTAAGAAACAGCAAAGTTTCAGGACCTAAAATTAAGTTTCTTTCCCCTATGAAGTCTAACGTTAGGACAATGGCTCTAGGGGCACATCTCCCCCACCCGCCAGAGGCAAAGCTCGCTCACATTGATCTCACCTCGCCGCATATGATGTTTACTCAGGGAAATCTGCTGGTTGTGCCGTTATAGCAGGCAGCTGTGGTCTTTCCCTTCTCCTGTGTGCAATTTCACTTCTCATGGAAGTGCACTTTCAGTTTTCTACCAGACAGCACCCATAGGCTGGCTTTTTCTTCCCTCCCCCTAACTTGCAGAGCTCCCCCTGCTGCACAGCCTCTGGGGAGGCACAAGGAAGCACACCCAGCCCGTCAGGTCTGTATTGTGGCTGACATAATGATCATCCCCAGAGTGAAATTGGCTCAACAATATTCAATCCTAAGATTTGGTTGGAAATATTGACTAAAACAAAACAAAACAAAACAAAAGCATATCTTCTCTTGCTTGTTTGGCCAAAAGGATGTGGGTATGGGACTTACAGCAGCTGCCTTGCTACCAGGAGAAGACAATCGATCTGGGAATGAAGCCAAGGTAGAGAAAGCTGAACTATACGGTGTCTGATTCCCAGCCACATTCTCAGGTCCCTAGATCAAGCCATGCCTGACCCTCTCGATTTATCAGTTACTACAATTTCTTTATTACTTAAGCCGCTCTGAACTGGGTTTACTGTTACTTGCATTTAAAGGAATCTTTGCTCATACAGTTACTCATTTTCTTTTCTTTTTTTGAGACGGGGCCTCGTAGTAGGTAGTTCAGGCTGGCCTTGAACTCACTATGGAATCCAGGCTGACTTCAAACTCATGGCAATCCTCCTGGTTCAGCTTCCTGAGTGCTGGGATTATAGCTGTGTGCCTTCACACCCCTCAGTTATTCATTTTCAATGCAAGAGCTGCCAGCCTTGCTAGGAATATGTAAATCCATGGAGAAAGAGGTATCCAGCCCTTAAATCCCATCCCAGGTCTGCAAGGTCATTGGGGAAAATTGAAAATAGCAGAGCTTTATCTCCTCGTTTAAATTTCTTTGCTCTTCTAGTATTCTCTATGTATTCAATTATTCCTTGCCTTCAGAACTTAGTGTCCTTAGGTTTCCCTTTGTAACCTAAGGCCCCACGGGATACAGAATAGTCTTAAATTCTATAGAGGAGGACTGGCCGGAAGAGGATGACTAGGTGGCCTAAAGAATCTAATGAGGCTCAAAGGCTGACTGCAGAAGGGCTGTTGGTTTGGTTCCAGTAGGTGGGTGGGCTACTGATACATGCTAGAATCAGAACTGAAGGCTACCAGCCAGGAGGAGAGACGCCAAGAAACCCCACACTCCAGCAAGGTCGTACTTCCCGCCACAGCCAGTCAGGAGGCGGGAGTAGTCAGGGCCAAGGGCGGTTGGCACCGCAAGTCAGGGGGTGAATTTTAACACAGGCAAATAAAGCTTGAGGGCATCAGGGACCGCAGTCTGTCTCGGATGGAGGCAATGTGCATTTTGAGAATTTCTAGGAGTGACTCTTTATTAACCAAATCCAGTGAGATCACAGAAGAAATCACACAAGGAAAGGGAGTACCTATATTAGTAATGATTTCTGCATATAGAATGTACAATTGAAATCATGGTTGAAAGGCTGATAACTTTTTTTTTTTTTTTTTGGTTTTTCTCCGGTACCGGGAACCGAACTCACGACCTTGCGCTTGCCAGGCAGGGGCTTTTGCCGCTGAGCTAAATCCCCAGCCCCAAGGCTGATATCTTTTTGACCATCATCTCTGGGTATTCCTGTGTGCCAGTGATCAAATAATGATAGAATCAGGGGGAAACAAGGTTAACTTTAAGCTTATTCCACCGCCAGAAGCAGAGTGAGAAAGAACAGCTAACACTTTATAGTGTACTATTTGTACCAAGTACTTTCAAGAATTTCATATATATTGACTTATTTAATCTTCAAAAGAACCATTTTAGGTACGTCCTGGCACGTCTATCTAAGGTGAAAAAAAGGCATCTTAGAACAATGACGGTAACCTCTCCAAGCCTCAAGTTCACTCTTGCCTTAGTTTGCATCCCGTAGTACTTTGGACGCTTTGCCTGGTATTTCTAGGTACCAGTCAGCACTGCCCCGAATAAGGACTGAACTGTCTGAATTTCAAAATGAACTTTTTCCTCATTCATTGCATCACTTGGAGGGTGGCTGCTTAAGTGAGAACCCCTTTTCCTTCGGTTCCTCTAAGACCTAGCCAACCCGCCCAGCACTAAGCAAACACCAGCCACTGACATGGCCTGGGAAGACAATGGTGTTTCTGGGATCCGGACTATTCCTGGAGAAGTCCTGGCAGTGCTAAAAGGACCCTATTTTCTCCCGTTTCTCTAAGTTCTCAGGGGCAGCAGACTACTACAGTTAGGTCCTCAGGTACCATTTTTTCCCATGGCAAGTTTCTTTCAAGATAGGTATCTCGTGATCTGGGTTCTGATAGTGCAACATCCTCAGAGGTCGCTCTTCTGTTTTCAAGAATGTGTGCTTAATCTAGGATTAAGAAAGGTATGGGGCAGAAGTACCGGGAGAAAACAGGTAATCTGATGAGAGATGAGGTGGTGGGATGAACAGGTTGCAGGGCCTAGGCCCAGGGTTGGTAGAGGGGAAGACTTAGGGCCCCGGGAAGGCTGGTATAAGGCTGAGCCCTAGACTTGCAGGAGCGGGGAGGAGGTAGATCACCAGGGTGTCAAGTCAGGCTCCAAGGCAGAAAATAAGAGCCCAGCTACTGTAAACCAGACAGGAGGTATTGGCTCACGGGTACCAGGCTTTCTCCCACTGGATGCAACGGGGTCTTTGTACAAAAAGAGCACTGAATAGGGAGCGCCCTGAACTTGAAGGGTCCTAGTCACAGCCGCGTCCCACCTACTTCAGGAGGAGAGCAGCAGATCGCAGCTTTTACAGATGGCTAAACTCAGACTAGAGCTGCAGCTCTGTTGTTGCTTTTGGACTCTCTGGTTGTTGTCCACCTGCATGGCATATTTTGAAAGTAATTTTGATTATTTTCAGGGCTTTTCCCCTTTGAAGGCAGATTTCCTAAATCTGAAGAGTAATTGTTCAAGGATGGTCTTAACTAACTCTAAGAATCAGTGTTGTTCAATAGTAAAGTCATGTCACGCAGGTAGGTCTTGGAAAGTACACCCATTCTGCCCTGTCTCTGTTTTTGGGCTTATGAGTGACTTGTTTCATGACAGTCTGACTTCCTGCCCTGGCTGAAGCGTTACTCATTCTTTAGTTCTGCTTCGGTCTCTGCCCATACTTCTAAACGACTCACCCTGCGTCAGCTCATCAGCTTTGCGTAACCTTTGCCTTGTGGAAGAATATCTCCCCTTTCCACCACCACGCAAAATGCCACACTGGCTAAGATTCATTCTGCATGCAGCCCCGGACTTCTGACAGTGACCCTAATGTCCTTTTCTGAGACGGCTTGCAATTTGTCCCTGGCGTTGGTAGGGAGTTCAGGCAGTATCTACTTTTGAGAGGAACTCAGCCAGATTCAATTCACAAAGATCTCGTTTGGGTTCAGCTCCCTCATCAGAAGTTTTGGTTCTTTGCGGGCACGTATGGACGCCCACGTGCCTTTACGCTTCCAAACAAAATCCCGTGCATGTTACGGCCCTCACTGTTATTTGAATGCATTGGCTGATTTCTTCTGGACATGCTCCTTGAACTTAGATCTAAACTGTTAAGATTTCTTCATGTAACTTTATAAATGTACTGACTTATTTTGAAAAAGCAGGACTATAACGACACAAAACCTGATTTAGACACCATTTAGTATCATTTCTAAAATATGGTAAAAATTTTATCCTAATCATCTCAGTACAAGCACATTCTTCCTAGAAACAAACTTCCCCAAAGAAACTCCATAAACAGAGTTTTAATAACCAGAGTGGAAGCCCAGGTCTGAGATTTTTTTTTTAAAAAAACCCTGGATTGACTTATAATCAGCAACTGAAGTGTAATGATCCTGAACTTTGGGGAATAACTCTGATTCTGCTACTGGTTTCTTATAGAATTGTAAGCCTCCTATTCAGGAGAAACGTTGTGGCTCTCATTTCTCACTCTTCACTGTCTGTGTCCGTCCAAATATTACTTCAGACGCTTCCCTGGCCAAGTTTGTGGATGCCGGCCCCAAGAAAAGGCAGTTTTAAACTTCAGCCTGTTCTTCCTTTACATTTTTTCTCAGGTTATCTCTGAGGAATTTGACGTCTAACTGTTCAAAGTGAGTGTAGGGTAACTGACTTAAGGGTATGATACTTAAAAACGCACTTCCTGTTGTGTATGCACGCGTGGCCACTCACTGTGCAAGAGGTGAAATAAAAGGACGTGTGAAGGTCTCCCACCTCGGCCTATTTTCACCAAACTTTATTGTTGATTTACTGGAATTGTAACACAGAGTAGGAATCAAAACACGTGGGGATCACAGAGGCTGTTGTGTTTATTGTGCAGAACAGACAGTGATAATCCACTAGAGAAATATTTTCAACAAGCAAGCGATTCAAAGTACAATCATAGACAGCAATTCTACATGAAGAACAAAGAACAAAGTTAGAAGACACGCAAAGGAACAGGCGGAAGTCCACTGCAGTTACACGTCTTGATACTCTTCTCCTGCAAACATACCTAACTTGCAGAAATGGTAGAAACGTTAAATGTCCAGTCTTACTTAGCCGCGACCAACAACAGCAAAGAACAGTCCTATAAAATTTATCTCCCACAAAAATAAACTATATATATAAAATTTTATGATGTTCTTACTGTTCCATTGGCCACAGCTTTTTTTTTCAGTATGAAAAATGAGGTATACTGGGACTTAAGAGGTAGTTGTGTGTTTTGATTGTACAACGTAGAGGAAGTAAGAGAGTGACCTCATCCGAGATGGAACCTGCTCAGCGCTTGCAGTCTGGCCAGCATGAGCAACTGCTTCCGTTTTATGAGCTGGCCAATGAGGTTTCCAAAAGGCCCATCCGAAGATACGGAGTGGGACTTTTACTTTTATGAGCCACTGTTTATTTGCTTATTTAATGCACAGTTAAGAGTCATGTTGAGTTTTAATTCTCTCCACAGGTCCTTTGGTGATTCACAACAGTAAGCGACCTGCCAGTCTCCGAGAGGTATGTGGCCTTTGCAATTACCTCCCTGAAGCGGCTGTGAGAGAGACGGTTCTGAGTTTCGTTTGGCTTCAGTACTCCAAGTCATACTGACACAAGCCGTCGGAGAGACTACCTCCTGGCCCAGTGGATAATACCATGTTAAAGTCAGCGCACTCACTAGGAGAGAAAGGCATACAATATTCTACACAAGAAGTGTTCAAAATAAATCTGGCTGAGACATATTACAAAAATCACATTTGTGTAAAATACAGGAAAATATCTGTCAAGCATTTTCTTATATTCAACTAATCTTAAAAAACACATATTTTGATTGCATTAGGCAAAAGCTAACCTTGTTCCATTTCACCGACAAAGCTTCAAGTTTCTTTGAAGGTTGGCTTCACTTTATTTACGTGTTTTTGCCAAAGTATGTAAAAATGTGTTCTTTTCTATCAAATGCCTTACAAAAATAGTTTTGATTAGGGATAGCTGCAGTTTGAACCATTTCAAACACTGGAGGAAAAAGATGAACGCTGCAAATAACAAGTTCATTCCTTTTAAAGTCTGGAGGTAGGTCTTTGCAAGTCAATTAGTCTATTTCCTTAAACAATTCATTTGAGGTACAGACTCAGAGGGTAATTAAACATTACAGTCAAATTATGCATTTGTGTGTGTATGTGTGTGTGTGTGTGTGTGTGCGCGTGTGCGCACGTGCGTGGCGTGTACTATGAGGAAAGAAAATTATCCTTAGAATCTAGGAGCCACTGGTTAAAAGCACGTTCAAGTTAATGGAGAAATCTAGCAGAGAAGCTGAAACAAGTATTTGTAAAATTTTAATTAAAAAAACATAGAAAAATACATAGCCATGCTGAGACAGAGTGAGGAGATTGTTTCTTTAACTGTAATGAGTGTACAAAAAGAACTGCAGATGAGTGGAATCACCTACCCAGTAAGTTTTTCTTTCTTGCATTGCTTGTGTATAGCAGCACGTAATAAGTACGAGACTGTAAATTCATTGTAACATTCAGAGGTAGTATTGAGTAGTGGGAATATTGCATCTCTGGCTAAAAGTGCAGTTTGAATGAAGAGATGGTGACCGGAAACTAAAGCACCTCGGTCAACCATCTTATGTCAAAGTGTGTCACTTGAAGTAACACTAGGCTTAATTTGAGGTAAGTGGTATTCAGGTCTTTCACCAAAACGGATACACAATGGAGAGAGAGAGGGAGGAAGCCAGGGATAGAGGGAGAGACAGAGACAGACTGCTTTTAAACTGTCATTTAGCTATAGCAAAGAAATGTAGATTCACTCCTCCCACCTCGTCATTCAGGTGAGTTTATCATGCATTATTCTGTTGTACCTTTTCACTACACTACAGAGGGTCGCGAACTTGTCCAGGTTCCTGAAATGCTTTAAGACTGACAAGTGTTATTTATCGCTAAGGGCATTTTGGCTCTGTAGGAAGTAGATTTTCTGAAAACAGAGTGTTGTCCTGAAAAACTTCAGAGTGGTGCGAGTAATTTATGACTCCAGCTGCTGTGTGTGATATCCGTAAGTACAGGAGCCGGCGACATTTACTCGCTTACTTCCCTTTTTGAAAAATGGACCTTTTCTGGCTTGCTCACTGAATGAAAGGATACATCAGCATTTCGTCTCATTTAGAAATACAACACAAAAAAGTTAACAATCATCAAGTAAGTGTCTACGAGATTATACGCAAAGGAGAGGATAGTATCTAGTCCTTATCTTTGGTGTTCTACACAGAGGGGTCACTACGGCGAGCGGGTGGGGAGGCGTGTGGGACCCGCGGGTCACGCACCGCGCCTTGGCCGCTGTTGCTAGACGCACGCCCGCTGCAGGGCAGTGACCAGCTCAGCCCAGCCGCTCAGGTCCTCCTCACCCGCCCACCTCTTGCTCATCAGATCGACTATTAGTAGGTTAAGGAGAAAAAAAAAAAAAAAGAAAATAGTCATTAAAAGTTGCATTGTTAAACTGTGTCCCCGTGTTTACAGCAGTTTTTCACTAAACCTGGGACCGTGAAGGGATTACAAAGAAAGTGATTAACATAGCTCTCGGTAAGGTTACGTGAGGTCGCCCGCCCCGCCCGCCCCGCCCCCCGCCCCGCGGAAAGTGGAAAGACCATGGCCATAGAGTGGAGTGGTCACTGCAGTGTCTTCTCCCTGCGAAGGGGTCAACTGCTGCTGAGGTAGAAATCCCGCGCGGGCGCCCCTAATCCTCCTCGGCGGACTCTTGTGAGGACGTCTCTTCAGTCTCCTGCAACACAAAGGACAGCAGGGTCACAAGGGCTGCGGGGTCCTGCAGGGCGCACGGGTGAGGCAGAGCGCATGCCCAGGGCTTCTCCCACCGCAATTGAGGAATCAAGGTGTTGTTTTTTCCCAGAGCCCTCATTAGCCACTGTTGACTTACAGCTTGACATCCTGGAGGCTGGTCAGCAAATTCAATTGTTTGCCGTCCAGAGACTGTCAGGCCACTGCAAGTCTGCTCGCCAAGGAGCGTCAAAAAGAAATGGGTGAACTTTTCCCGACAGCAGGCAGTTTTACAATCCGGAGTACGGGTACAAAAAACAGCCCAGGGGATCTTTCCTGGAGGAATAAATCCATTCTCCAGACATTGTGTCATCATGGCTGATGTAAGGTAGATTTTTAGAGTGCTCACTAGATGCTTTTAGGTACTGGACAGAAACCAAGACACAGAGAAAGGTCAGGCCCAGGGTTACAGCTCAAGTCCGGTCAGGTTTGGGCCACGTCGCACGGACGTGAGACCCCATGCGCGAGAGCTAAGCCCTGTGCAGGCGCCGGGGAAAGCACCAGTGGATCTGCAGAAAGAACCCAGGGAGGGGACTGCAAAGTTCCTTTCCAAGGCCATTTCCTTGTTCTCATATTCATTAAAGCGCGTTTTGAGACAGTGACCAAAGTCTGGCATAACTGTTCAATCCCAGTACTAAATCCATCCAGTCCAGCCAAATATTTAATGGCGGGCCAGCCAAGCAGAGAAAATCTAATATATACGTTTTTGCAGGGCCTCCTCTACATATAAAGCGGACTCCTCCTTCTCTTTCCCTTTTTCTGATTCCTTACGGCTCTGGAATTTGTTGGGGTTTCTGCAAACCAGCCTGAGCCGCGAAGTTCTTTTTCCTTTTGCTTATTTAACAAATGTGTTGTACCTTTCAGGACATGGGTGGTAAAGCGGAGACAATAAACATTTCTGATAAAAGTGTCGTTAGCGAGAGGATGATTTTTATCGAACGCTGCACACTGTCCCCGAGCATGGCATGTGAAAAAGATCCGGGAGAAGAGGTAAACATTTACTCCTGCAGCAAACCAAGCCCCTGAAAGAATGGCCAGCTTAAAACAGCTTATAACAGCCTTCATACTTTAATAGATTTGATTTTCCACATGGCTTCACTTGGTCTGGGTGGCTAGCTGACACAATTTATACCTCTCTTCCTCTCCCAGGTCACTACAGTACACCATTCAGTAAAGCAGGCCTCAGAGCCTGTCTGCATTATATGAGCAAACTCCCATTCATTAGTGTCTGAAACACTTCGGCTGTGAAGGGGCTCCTAAATGCTACCATGTGTGACGCTTTTGCGTAAAAGCAGCAAATGGGAGAGAAACGGCCCCCATGAGCGGCACTCCCATGAATGCGCGCACACACACGCGCACACGCGCACACCAACTGTAGCCTGGGTTTTAATCACAGGCCACCGCTTACTGCAGACCTTTTGCAAAAGGTTTCAAACATTCTCTTTCCCCCAAAGACCCAGAAGGCTGTAAATCCTGGGAATAAACACACATACAAATGAATGGATTACAGCTTAAAAAATATAACCACAGCAGCATCAAGTCATGAGATTTCACACTGGTTTTGTTTAGTCTGCTCCGGGTTTTGTGGGAAATGTGGAAAGTATAAAGCTATCTCCCCTTTCCTCCCCGCCCCCAAACGTGGGCTTCGCATATTTAAGCAGCAGGTTTATACCTCTTGACGAGGCAACGGGCCATGACCCTGGGATTCTCTGTGGAGTCCTGGGCACAAAGGAGTATGTAGCATGATCAAAGCTATGGACAGACGAAAGAGAGACAAGCCAAGGATCAGCTGCCCCATGACCTTGTCTTTTCACTTAATATTTAAATTCCAGAAAGTCACTAAGCTGTTCGGCAGATATACTCTTTGTCCGCTCCCAGAGGACTCACTTCTCATTATGACATGAGGTGTGGACTTACGTTATTTCTCTGAGACAGACCACGGCATAGGAGCTGGTGGGACTATTTTATTTTGCTTTCTCACAGCTAACAAATTAATAGAACCAGTCAAGCTGGAAAACCTCCTGGACCAAGCTGCGATTATTGTATCTCTAAGTGCTTGATTTTCCTCTACTATCTGAAGACCAGTGTACTTCAAAATCCGGAAGGAAATAGTATTTTCAGGCCATGAACTTACAAAGACCTTGTACTAGGTAGAATGTGACCAGCTTTTCAAAACATTCCCAGACACTGTGCTTGATCTGAGCTCCTGAAACTGATAGTCAAACCCCTTAGACACAACTCAGGCGAAAACGGTCCCTGATATTGTTTTCTTCGCTTAATAGTTCTTAACACAACGTGGGAAGCTGCTTTATTTATGTATCTTTCCCCTGACCTTGAAATTCTTCTGCAAGAATCTATCAATTAATAGAAGGAACACAACTAGGAAGTCAGGATGGGAGGCCTCACCCCATTAAACTTTTAGGGGCAAAGTGGGCTTTCACAGACTCACCAGTATGGTTTTCTCAAATGTCAAATTAGAGGACGGATTTCTCTTCCTGGCATGGCCTTCCCTGGGAAGGAAGGCATAGTTGCAAGCAGATAACGCTTTTCTTCCTCTGCGAACCTCAGGTCTCACTTCTCCAGGGACCCTGTCTTTTGTGACATGAATGGCTATCTCATAGGAATGCACTGGAAAATGAATATTCCTTTGGGAATAGGATGAAGTTGGAAAAATCCCCTCTGCAGTCCTACATGTCACAGTCGGGCTAGACTTCACCCAGGACACTTCTGCAGTGCCAACAGTGGGGTGAAACAAAGGACATGGGGAGCAAGCAAATGACCCTGCTGTCCCCAATGGAGTACTTGGTAGGGAATCTCTAGCTTCCATCCTCTGAGCCCCTTTAGTAATTAGAAGACATGGTCCTGTACTATAGACAATAGCTTGGCCTCCCGTTGTTTTTTAAGGAGTGGTTTACATTTGGAAAATTCTGCCAAATGACCTTTGAGTGTGAGGAGCTCCTCAAGGGTGGCTTTGAAGTACTAGGGAGGCTGGAATATTGTGGCTGTGAGCTGCACCATCTCATCAGGAATTAGTGGATGGGGTGGGAAAGCCGAAGAGCAGCTCTCTGGTCAAGCAGGCTTTCTTTGGAATGGGGCTGCAGGAATGTCAAGATAAAAGGACTGCAGTGTGAAGTACACAGTGACATTTTTATGAGCACCAGCCACTAAAACCTCTAAACACTGAGCAGGTCTAGGCGCTCACGCAACAACTTTACCGAGACAACTGAGGTCGCACCATGCTAGGGGTGAAAAGACCGATAAAAGGGGGAAAGATAATGGGCAGAGTGGGAGAGCTATGTTTTTATTATAACTCTGGGAAAACCAACCTAATTTTGCCTTCATTTTTCTTTTGTTTGTGGAAAAAGAGATTTAGTAACTGTAACACGTTCATTGCTTTGGCTAAGCTTGAAAAAAAAATCCCCACTAAAACCTAGGAATACAGTCTGCATATACTGCCATTCTTTCAAGTTGGTTCAGCACAATGGGTGTGGTACATATCTGGATACAATTCAGCTAAATGATTAAAACAGGAAAAGGAAGAGAGCCTAGTGTCTATCCTTAATTCCTAGTGCTTGATGGAATCTTGAAATGCCTCGAGTTTCATCACGGATCTTACCACACAGGCATGGAACGCGTGTACGATGGAAGGAAGTTCAGTATTTCAGGCTGAGAGCTGAAACTCTGGGTTTAATTTTCAAATGCAGACTAAACAGTGAGTTTGTAGTGGAAGAGAGGGCAGTAAATTCTAAATGGAACCAGGAAGTGGAAACGCTCTCACTGCAAACTTTAAAGGTTTTGTCACCACGATGCAGCTCTTTGTGTGTGTGTAGTAAGGGATGCGGAATCACAGAAGCTCATGTTAGTGTTAGTATGTCCTTGTGCTTTTTTAATTGCAAAGGATCCTGCAACTTTTTCTAACCATGTGATATTGCAGCCTAGAAATACATACGTAATTTAAGCTATCTTGCCAACAGACCTACAAATACCTGGTAATCAAGAAAAGGTAGTTAAAGGTGACTGACTTTATCTTGGTCATCTTAATATGTTCAACATTTTAGGTCTTAGAAGGACATGCTTACAAGTTTATTGTGTTTGTGAATACCTCAAGTCAGTCCTGTCAGAACAGAAATAAAGGGTTCCTCTCCTCAGCAGGAGTAACCAGGAACCAATCTTTCAAGTTCAATCTGCAGCTAAGAGACCCACAAGACCTTCAAGCCAAGGTTTTCTATTTTTCTGTCAGATATTTTAATTTAAAATGGATTGGGGCTGTTTAACTTCATGGAAAGTGATTATTTCCTCCAACTAGGAAAACTTTGTAGCAGATTTAAAAAACATGTTGAATGGAACATATATAAACCATATAATCTGGCAAGTGCAAGGGATTCTGATGGAAATGCAAGGCGGGAAATATGTTTTTCAAAAGGAGACTGGAGAATTTGGGATAGCTGCAGCCTCTTATCCTTCCTTTCAGCTGTACGTACAGAACACTACACAGGCACATGCTGCCACACGCTCACTAACGGTGGGTTTACACGGGGCGTGTTTCGTTTAAAGAAGGTTGATTGCAGGCGTCACTGACCACAGCTGCCAACCGCGGCTCTAAGGGGCTGTGTAAGCAGTGCTCTATTCCCACCTTATCAGGCCAGTAATGATAATGTCCTTCTAGCTGCACTGTAGGATTGTGTGAGAAAGAATGTAACAATCACCCAGAAAAAATTTAAAGATGAGTAAATATCCTCCAAGACTAGTGTGAAATAGTGACTATTAATGTTAATTACCCACCCTGTGTTTACTTCTTCATCTGTGACTCAGCAACAGAGTCTTAAGAGTGGGGTAAAAAGTCATTCTTGCCAAATAAAGTAAAATTTGGATTCAAAGATGCACTTCTGTTAGTCACGTGGTGATCTCAGCAGTTTCCTCATTGTACAGATGAGGCGAAACCTTTTC